ACACACACACACACACACACACACACACACACACACACACACACATATATATATATATATATATATATATATATATATATATATATTCATCATACATACATACACATATATACATATATACATATATACATACATACATACATACATACATGCATACATGTGTATACACACCCTACATACATTCATACATACATACATACAAATATACAAACATACAAACATATGTATTGTAGAAAATCATGAGACTAGGTCGATCAGTTATTGTGGGGTCTAGTTACGAGAATCCGTTATTGGTTGGATATAAATTTCAGGCCCGATTTGGGAGTTTAACGTTTGCTCACTGTGACACCAACTAATGAACAGATACATATCCTATAGCCAATATAAAACGAATCTAATTTATCTACGTAAAGGAGAATGTCAACAACTCAGGGCTTAGTTGTTACGATTCCATGTTAAACTTACTGAACAACGCCAATTGCTGCAGTGAAACGGATGTCTGTTTGAAGGTAGCGTACTTCTCTAACAAGTCCTTATATTCCTGCTCACTTCTAGTTTTAGTTGCCAAGGTCCGCATCCTAGCCCCAGCTGATAAAAAAAGTACACGTGTTGGCTCAATTGATTTACGATAATCTTTTTGTATATGTGCGTTCGCACACATAAGGGTGCGCAAATGTCGATAACTTTGAGCTGAATGGATTGTTCTGGAAGTGCTCGGTAACGTTTGCCCTAATTTAATGGTATTTAATTTATGATAACGCCCAACATCCCTCGGCGAGAGGGAGGACCGTACAACCATCATCGTACAGGCAGTTTGAATAGTTGCCATAAACGTAATATCAGTGAGCGGGCTGTGCCTCGCAGATTGTACTGTATCTCACTGCACTGTACCCGCCTAAATGACGACAGCTTTGTAAACATATATAGCTTTTGTACAGTTGGATGATGCATCCATGATGATGTATTTGTATTTTGTTGCAAAAAAAAATCAATAATACGTTTTGGGGGTAATAAGGGGACTTTGATGAGGCTGAGAGAAAGCCAAAATTGCTTTTCGGCCAATGAAATCAAGTGTGGGAATCTAAATTTAGATACAATAGAGAAATGTGCACAGTAAATAAATACAAATATTTAGGTGAGTGATGAATACAATAGTGGCCAGTCCGGCCCACGGCCCAGTGCCCAGTGCCCACCGCCTACTATTTAGACTATGTGTAACATTTAGTCACCGTAGTCGGCAGTGGCCCAGTGCCCGGCAAATTTACTGCTATTGCTAAAAAAAAAGAAGGAAATCACATATTAACATCTTTGAAAACCAAACAGAACAAGTTTTGTCGACAATACAGTGAATACACGTTGTAAATATTTGTATTACACAGCCGGAAGAGGGGGGGAGGAGTAATATCCTTGTAATTTCAATTTGGGGTATATCGTTATTTTATACTAATAACATTCTATAGGTATGCCGAGGAATGGTCGTATTCGAGGTACATTCTGGCGTTCAGCACGGATTATATAGCTCCATATTCAAGTTTACCATACCATGGTCAACTTTGGAAACAGTCAAAATCTCGAAATTTAGGGACTTTTGTATCTCTGCATCAGCTCTGATATGAGCACCCTCGTTGGCCGCGAATTTGAGGGTGTTGGCCGCGAATTTCGCACGAAGTGCTCGTGAAGCATCTACACGTGGAGCACTCACGCGCGCACTATTTGCTGCCCAGTTAATGTGGCAAGCCATAATCGCGGTTATAAAAGCTGGCAGTCTTCCGGATCAGCTGTTTTAGGGTTAATTTTTTCTTAAAGTCGTCCTACCGATAGATCCTTTTGATTTTTTTTTGCACTAGAGGTCAGTGAGTGAGGCTTCAACACTCTCAGGGTAGAGTTTAGTGGGTAGTGCTCAATCAATCCTTGAAATTGGCAATTTTCCAGCCTTTTTAAGTAATCACATGTAACCGTTTGTTTTGTATGTTTGCCTAGATGACGTCTTCTTATCGGATTTCTCAGAGAGCAACAATAATATAGGCACTGCGAAGGAGCTGTATTCAATGGGAAAATGCGGAAATGGTATTGAGATAAAAAGCGGAATCCTGATGAGAGTTCCGAAAGAAATGTGCTAAAGAGATTCACCAGGGTATGTATCACCCAGAAGCGATCTGTGAGACATACTGGAACTTCTGTTTCGTATCCGATCCGTTCATTTTCATTCCGGAATGTTGCTCCAAAGCCCAGGGGAAAGACAAAGACAGTGACAAAAAGAAAAATTGTAGCGAAGCAGCCGCCGGTGAATGCTACACGATCTGTGTGCAAACACTTTGACATCGCAGCCAGAAAAACGATCAATATTTGCATTGCACAAGTACTCGCCATGAAGAAAGCCGCAACGAATCAAGAAACGTCAGGGAAATCTTCGTTGATATCGGTTCCGTATCCGCGACAAACATCGTCAAATGTGGAATTGAGCGTCGTAAGATTGAAGCTGTGTATCTACGAACGAAATAGATAGAAGATGAGTCCACCGAACGATTAAAATAAAAACTCTTCACAGTTATCCATTGCAGGATGATTTCTTCCCTTCTAGCCTGGATGCCTTTTGATGTCGCAATGCTAATCGTACGATAGCAACAAGCATCACCCACATGAGTCACCCACCCGTTGCAACCAGAGTGCTTACCAGTAGGTGTGCATGCCGCTAGATTCGAAAATCTAGCCGTATGGATAGTTGTAAATACATAAGAGTGATACATAAAATGTATCAATAGGAGGGAATGAACGGCATGTACCTAAAACTATGCAACACCCACCCGTTGCAACCAAAGTACTTACCAGTAGGTGTGCATGCCGGTAGATTCGAAAATCTAGCCGTATGGATAGTTGTAAATGCATAAGAGTATTACATAAAATGTATCAATAGGAGGGAATGAACGGCATATGCATAAAACCAATTTACCTCATAGCAGGTTCGGAATGGACCATAGGAGAATTGTGAATTATTGGGGTTGGGTGTACTCAAGCGTACATCGTTGGTGATCCAGCTTGGGGACACAAGACTAGCAATACCTAAGCCAAGTGTGATGAGAGAGAATGCTACCGCACACGTACGGTATCGGTTCCACTGGTATTGAGCTTCTACTCTCTTCATTTTGATAGGATATGTATGTGAAATGTACGAATTGGCAAGACTTTCGCACCTATAGACAGGGGGTTACGGCTAAAGAATGAATTATTTGAGATCTTGCTTTCATGTCATAAAGAAATAGCAGTAATCAATCATTACGCGATCTATGCGCGAGCTTGAAAATATAATAACGTTGTTGAAATCTATATTTATTTTTGATTTTACAGACCAGAGACTGTGAAAAAGCGTTCAAAATCCCCTTTTTTAATCTTTTTATGTTACATTATAAAGCAAAAATGTGTTGCTTGGGAAATCCACAGCCAAATTTTGTAATCGCCAAATAGTAATTCTTGTCATGGAACGTTCAATTTTCTTTGGTCAGATTTTATAAATGAGGGTAAAAATTGTTTTTAAATGGCCACTAAAATAGAACTTTGGGCGTAGGCTTATACATATGTGATCTTAGTCATGATGCGAGCAAATATTAATGTACTTACACCGACAGATTCCGCAAGTAAGCCGTTAGAAAACGACTATTAGGTGCACATACCGAGTTCTATGGATGGGTAGCGATGTGGAAGCTCGATTTTTGTGCACGCATACATGTTCACAAGCGCATAGTCGACTCGGAATGTACGAACAAACCGTACTTTCTCACACATAGTAGATTATACTCAGGTAACAATACTGTTTGAGTATCAACGTGAGCATGCAACACGTAAATGAAAATCTTCAATGCTGACGCTTTCTACATATTACCATGTAAGGCAATTGATCATGGCAAGCGCTTGTCAAAATTGCTATTCAGATTCGTATAATATTGTTACCATGTGAAGATAGGATTTGATATTCCAATTAAACTCGTTTACATCGGTCTTTTATAATATGGCCGGTCCTAAAAAATTTATAATTGGATTTTCTGCAAATTGTTGGGCAGTATTGAATGTGTAGATCATTTTTTTGTAGATTATCTCCTTGGACTGACAACCGGCTTCAGCTTTACTATTTACTAATTGGAGACAATGTAAATATAATAGTTTCCTTTGTACACTATCACTTTGTCGTGAAGTTCGGCGGTTTAAACCCGATATTGTACACTCGTACATTCCCTTGTACCAGTTTGGGGAGGGCGACTGCGTTGCAGATGGGATACAAGGTGGATATCCACCAGCAGCTTCCTAGTATTACAATACATGACTCGGCTTCTCATTGGATCGTATTGTGTATCACAGCGCATCTGCGCTCACAAACATGATAGGGCCTATGTCGGAAATGCGATGACAAGCCCACGCATTGCTCACGAGGTCACATTCAGTCTGTCCGCGCCAACTATCCTTACACTATCAGCGATCGCATTTCACGGTAGATAGGCGTGTGGTTTGGGCACACTGCCCTCAGATCCAAAGTCTGCTGGATTGTAACGGCGTGTTTCAACTACTATGATGCACGGTCACGCTGTGCAGCACGACTACTCAGGCTTTCGAACGTCCGTCCTCCGCTTACGTGAATATTTATAGCCAATATGGCATCATACAATATCATTCGCATGATAATCCAATCTTTTACGAACCCCGAACACCTGATCATGTGGTGGGCTGTGGCGTTCGGCCAGTTTTCAGGTCATATGCCAAGATGTGGCCCTTTAGGATCTCGTCATGCGCAACACCTTTTCGTATGTCCTTGATCTGTTATGTATCATTCGTGGGTCAAGTGGTAACGAATTACAATTAAAGTTTGTCCGCATGTCTGGTTCGAGCTGTCAGATCACTACGTCCAATTTGTAAATAAATATATACGCGTTTCCTACGTTATATCATCACAAAACACATGCACGAGCCAAAAAATAAAAATAAAAATTGAGAGCAATAAAAATTCAGCTGTACGTCTCTACATACGTCAGCACGTAGCGTGATCTCCCTTTGCCGGATGTTCGCCGGACGACTGGCTACATCGAGAATGCCCTGCAGAGACCAAAACACACACGGAGAAAATAAAGTATTAGAATAAAGCCAAGCGTAGATGTTTCAGGAAGAGGACTGTGAAGACACTTGCATCAAGGGGGAGAAGGGAGTGTATAAAAAAATCATGAGGATACATACCATGCCCTGCAACATTTCGAGTATGTCTGTCACATCCGTGTTCGATACAGGCGCCCCGATCTTTTCTCTGCACCATATGCTATATGTGTCGTGCAACTGTGATCGGCGTACAGATTGAGTAAAGTTTGAGAATATAAAAATTATCAGCTATCAGGATAAATATTCCGGTTTAAACAGCAAAATAATCTATGTCGACACTGAACTCTATTGTGTCTGAAGCTAATACAAACAGGTGCACAGAAGCCACGAGCCCTGCGCTTAAATTTTTGGTCAAGGCACGAGTTCATGAGAATTCCTGTGCTCATATGCCAACCTATATAAGTTACAAACAAACACTGTGCATACCTTGCCCACGGTCATCCTTTTTGCATTGTGTGCGGTATTCTCTATTACATATGTCGTGTAAACTAATAGAATAATCAAGTGGTGTAACGGCAATCCCTGTTATAGAAATGAATGAATATTGTATCGTCAGATTATGACACTAACGCCAAGAGCAAGCAGCCGAATGTATGAAGGGTATTGAGAGAGTTGGACTTGTGCTGTTACAGATTTATCAGACCTTGGCTTTGACATGAGCATGGGGGTTGCGTAACGACACACGTCCAATAGGCAAGCAGAAGCGAAAGGCGGTATATTTTCACAGAATATTTAGACAACTATACAAAGACTCACGAACACATACACGTACAACTCAGAAGCTCAAAGATCTGCCTCGACCATACCTTGACTTTCTGCACTATAGCCGAATTACTGTTTCCCTTGAAAACGGCCAAGACATGTCCAACGGACACCTTTATTGCCGGCGTGCTAGCTGTTGTCGGCTGGGTGCCTTCCGATTGGCAGCTAATTTTATATTTGCTCTGCTCAGCGGCCACCACAACGGCTTTCCTCAGCACCTCCATCGCTTGTCGAATGTCTCCGGAGGTGGCTGAGATTTTTCGCGCGCAGAACTCCACAGCCACTGTATAGTGATCAAAAGTTATCAAAAGGTGGTTCCGTTTAGTAGTACATCTACTTGAGAGTAATCCATGTTTCTATTTCAGAGCGTGTGAGTGAGTACATCCGCACCTGAGTGTTCGGAAACAATTGTGGTTTGGCGATAAGTACATCGCACTTAATTATGTCACGGTAGAGAACTTTTAATATGAAAACGAGAAAAAGATTCTCAGTTGTAATTTGATGACAGTTGCATTTTTTCTCGTGCAATTCTGATAGTATAATGAATGTATTCTCAGTTCCAGACTGATAATATTGTATTTCAATATTCAGGTATGTTTGTGTTTGTGTGATGGTGTATACATAAATTACTTGACTTTATTTTTTCGTGTGGAAGTATAGCAAATAAACACGACGAGGGACCAGCGTATGGGTATTCGCCGAGTCCTTGAATTGTCACACCATCCACGAGTCGAAACACATATACACGGTAAACGGTCTAGGCTCATTAGCACAACAGTCGAGTACTCATATGCATGTGATCTGCGTGATACATTATGAGAGTAAAACCATAGAGACACACAAACTGCACATACTCTTGTCGGCTACAACGGTTTTGTCCTCATATCGTTCGGACACGCTTGATATTCTGCCTTGTAAAATGGCCACAATCTCTGCCCGTGTGTATGGATTAAAAACGATTGACATCGGTTCACCTGCGAGAAATCAAGCGTCAAGGATTGCAGAGTACATCAGAATTTGGAAGTAATGGTGGGTTTATTAGTCGATTTAATATCAGTCATTCGACAGAGAGGAGCAGAAGTAGTAGGAGTATTATCCATTTGTACAGTTCTTGCATTGTATGTGCGACTGCATAGCCAATGCAAACAAGATGCACAATGGCGTTTCTGTAAAGCTGACAAACGGTACAAACACGGACATCCGGACCGGAATTTTTGGCCAGTATTGTTGCATCCATTTGCACAATATATACAATTAAGCCCAAATAAACATGTCAAAACATATACACAGGCAAAAACTCGAGTGATCGAGAATAAAGCATATACAGGTTTTCAAAATGCGCAAGAAAATATATACTATAAATAAAAACTTGCTACAGATTAGCCGTTCGTATGTAACACACACTTCTGTAGACTGCACACAAAAGCAGCACGACACGCCGAACGTGCACCGTACACCGCGCGCGACATACAAGATTTGGCTCTTAGCCTTGGCAATAGTCTGTCGGTGAAATCTAAGGTGTTCGCAATGCCAATGAGAATTAAGCGCGAGTGCTTGAGCTGTGGCAGCTCGAACAGGTGATACAGTACATTCTTGTCATTCCTGGATAGCGCATCGACCTCGTCTACTATTACGGTGCTGTTTGATACAAGGATATAGTGGAAGTATTAGCACAACTTGTGCAAGAAGAACAAGCGAGTTGCCTTAGGTATAATAGTGGTGTGGTATATACCTCAAGTAACTCATTTTAGTGGTACAACTTCGGACAAAGTGCAGATCTTGCTATTCACACTATTACTCATACGGTCAACTTACACCATACTTACAACACAATCAGCTAGGCCCATCGATACATCAAAGCACGCCCTACATTGACAAATACACTCAAATACTTCTCGTCTGCGATTTACTATTTTCAATTCGATCGATTTTGGTATCTACAACCGACTCACATCATCGGTAGTTTGGCTCTGTCAGCCGGTTCAGGGCAAAGAATACCCTCTACGGCCTCCGAGGCGCCTGCCATTGGTACACACCCACCCGTGATCTGTGTGTATATCTCTGTGTAGATGGCTCGCGGTGTTATCACGGACATGCAGTTTATCTTGACCACAAGCATTCTTTTGGACCTCTGTTACAGTGGTAGATGGGTAGGGAGGGTTTATGCAGTCAGTGTGCTAGTCAAAATGAGCTATATAATTTCGTAGATACCAACCTCTAAAGCGATGTTTAACTCGTACATCGTGATAATTTAGAATACTGTGGATATAGGTACATGTCAGGTGCTTAGCCTATTTTATCTCGGAACAGACAAAAGCGCCAGACAAACAATACCTTCTGCTTCTTTTCCCAAGCGTGTATTTCTTTCTCTACCATATCCACACTGGCGGTCTTTCCAGTACCCGGACTCCCTGAGATATACAATGCTCCTGATAATTTTTTTGCATAGCAGTTGTGCCAGAAGTCTTGCACCTGTTTATATTCCTTTACGCGCCCGATCAGCGCATCCGGGATGGCCGATGAGTGCAGCGATTTCTTCATCGCCGTGAGAATATCTGAGTATATATGTATATAAATTGTATATATTCAAGTTGAGTGCATGAGTATAGAAGTCTTGACTACATTGAACCGCACACGGCATACGACGCATTTGTAAACAATACAAAAGTGTTCACGCACTTACCCACAGTTTCGCCCTGGCCCACACCATCGCTCAGCCCACCCGCATCTGCCATCGCTGCACTCTGTTGGTCAATTTGTACATCTTTTTGTATTTCTTGTCGCTTGCTTGCGCTCGTACATACTGCATCCATATTTTTACTGGCAATATTTCTTGCAATAGCTTCGCATTTTCCCGTAGTATCATGTGATTTGTCTCGTTTGCGAGACGGCGTGACTATTTCGCCACACTGTTGACGCGCCCGTTTGCGCGTGCATACTGGCGGTGAAGTGTCATCATCTGTCGGACTTGTCTTGCGTCTCTTCGGTGTTCTTCTTAATCCCAGTCCTTGCAACCCACCTGTGTATTGTGTGTACGCAGTAGAATGTTATGAATGATCGCCTTCATATGTATACCTCAAGACATAATGGGCCGTTGATGTGATGATGAATGAGAAGCACGCGTTTAACGGAATGTCATAGAGGCGAAGGTCCAATTGAAATTGATTATTTACGTCCCGCACTCATCGCTACAATCATCGCCTACAATTCCAACTCTTAGATTTTAATTTCAAGACTCGAAACCTCAAGTACACATCAATCACACATATATGAATAATACATGTGCAATATACGTATATATGCTAGACTGCATAATACATATATAATAATATAATAATATAATAATATATGTATATATATATAATAATATATATATATATATATATATATATATATAACAATATATATAATAATATATAATAATATATATATTAGCAAAAGGCGAGTGTGTGCAAGTAAATTTGAATTTTTGTGGGAATATACACTTGAACTAATTGTACGACTCTTGTCCATGTCCGATATAGAACAAAGTACGCATTTCTGCAGTTATAAGATCCGATCAAGATAGATCCAACAGAGTAAATATGGTAATCATTAATTTCCACAAATAATACTTGGATTCTGTTGTATAGCACAAGGTTGATACCGATGGGATAGTCTACATAACAAGGAACTAGAAGGAAGGATAAATCAAATTCAGGACATTTGTTTGGCTCAGTATCCGCACTCCAATGACAGCGGTATGCGGCTTGAAAGACAGCCACATTCTTATACAGTTTACAGATGTTTGAAGTGACAATCTCGATGTATACGTGATTCATACACACACAGTAGACATCCACCATACTATACACGTGCATAAACTCATGTGCTGCTGTATGAGGTTTCACTCAGTATTGTTTTGGAGACCTCGGGAACACTGGAGTACATAAACTCGGTTCTGACGCCAAACACTCCTATAGTCACGCGCGTGTTTGTAATTGCGTTTTAAGCTCATGTGCAACTCAAAGACACTTTGACTATATAGGCAGAAAAAAATCGTGTGCATACGTTTTCAATATAGGTATATTTCATTCAAAGCAGCATACCAAAGTATCGAATGGATATACTATAGACATCTTACCTATCGACACTTGCGGTCGATTGTGAAGCGATGAATCATTCTCATCATTCACAGGTGACGCGGTGCCCGAGTCCTTTGGGGTTCTGGGCGATCGGCGGGTAGTGCGTTGGTGTACCATGTTAAATACGATCGAAAGTGGGTCAAACGCGACCTTATTCAAGGGATTTTGTGCAATCTTTTCCTTTTAAAAGAAGCAACTACAAGACATTGATATCGCACCCTTTACGGATTTCTATAATTTTTTCTTATTACTAACGGTATCCACTACTACTAACAATTCCCACTTTTATGTCGCTGTAGTATCAGACGTTAGTACATAAATAGTATGTGCGTGTTCTATTGTAAATAGTGTAGAATAGTCTGTCAGATATATTTAGGCCCAGTTTATCGGAAGATTTGATATGTATTTATTAGTGCCATCCAATGATCCAGCCCATTCTGTGTATTTTATTTACTCTGAACACTTATTTTTGAATTCGGGCGGGAAATTTCTGTAAATACAAATTGGTGCTATCTATACATACAAAGCCCGCTCTTTTGCGTGCATGATTTTATTTTAGTTTCTATGGAGGATTGATTTTCTCTCCTAAAGACTTGGCCCTCTGGAATCTGGATTTGGGTCTCGAGCATAAGTTTCTCTCTACGACGTCGTAGCAGAAATCGTGAATTTAGCGCGGACCTTCCCTCCAGTAAAGGGCCATGTTAAAAGAACATAGATTTTTATCGAGGAATCGAGGTTAAAGGCCGTGCGCAGTGCGAATTATAAGCCGCATATCCAAGAGCCAGGTTTACCAGAGCCAAATGGCCAGTTCGCGCCGTGATTGAATTGTGAATCAATTTCACAAGCTTTTAAAAGACACAATCGTGGCACATGGCACACTCAAACACACGCAGAAACGACAGGCACTACGAGTGACTGTGTAGTAAATCTCCACGGAATTGCCAGTTGGATTGATGCTATAATGCTTCTCACTACGACAGCGGTTTGCTAATTTAGCACTACGATACCGAGTACAGTAGCTACTTGTGAGGTCCTGTTGAGTTGATGATTCACTGTCTAGATAACTGTCAGAGACCGGATAAAAAAATTATACATACAAGTATTGTTGTATCATTGGGGCGGTAGTGACGCGCGACTGATGTGAATTCAGCGAATCAGATTCGTCGAATGAAAGTCAAAATTTTGCACCCGTGGGGGCACGAAGACCACCTCAAGAGATTGACACAAGGGAGGGAGGTCTGTAACAGAGTGTAGCCTAAGGTAGCTTCTGATCCACGCTGGGTGAGTTTTAATTACTCTTAAGTTTGCTATGACTTCGATTCTCGCTGTAAAGTCCTAGCCTCGCTAGAGGCTACCCGGGCTACAAATCAGCATGGAGGACTGCCTCAAGGCTGCTATGGTACGGCAACAGCAATTTCCACATAATAATTCGAAAACTAAATTCACATATATGAGATAACAACTCAATTGCAACCGAGCCAGCCGCACATCTGATAGAGCAATGGAGAGTGATGCAAGATTAGACCTAAATTGCTGGAAATGTAGCTCTTTAGTCAGTATGGACAAATATATGAAATTCCAAAAGCTTCAAATATTAACATCCATACTAGAAATATAAATCGATGAAGAAAAGGCGGTATATTGAGATACTGGAGCTATTCTAGTTCCAGATAAAAAAACCCGAGAAAGCAACAAACAATCGAGCAGGACAATAGTGCAAAGCAATGTGCAGCAAGCAGTCATTTCACTCCGTATCCCATTGCTCTGATTGTCGGAATTCCTATCGACGCATATGTGTATGTAACTATTAATCAGTGAAGGTTAAATACATAAAAACGAAAAATATATCTATATCTATATCAGTATGTACATACAAAAATACATAAATACATAGATACATAAATATATATATATATTTGTATAGGAATATATACATACATACATACATATATACATACAAACACACACACACACACATACAGAGGGATATATACATATATTTAGAAACTGCACACACACACACTCATATATATATATATATATATGCATATATATACATATACGTATATATATGTATATATACATACACTATATATACATACACACAGGCACTCGTATATACACACACACACCTATATATATATATATATATATATGTAGAGGACGAGGGACGGCTATATTATATATATATATATATATATATATATATATGTAGTGGACAGGGGCGGCTACGGACAAAACGAAGCGTATACAACGGCACAAGGTAACGCCACAGTAATGAATAAATTCAATGAGTGCGGATACATCTCAAACTCATAGCGTATACATTCATTGTATTTGCTTCATGCACTGATAGACCAGTAGATTAAGTATTCGTGAGTATGCTTTTATATACAAGCGAACTTAATCATACAAAGCAAGTTCGGCTTTCGACATGCACAGATACTATGGTTTTCTGAACCACTTACTAGCTCTTACAAATGTCTGCCAAAAAAATTGTATGTAGTAACTCAAAAATAGCGATCGAAGGTTCGTCCACACATAAATTCATCCTCTATGATGACGCGAAGGCGTCAGCAACTTTCTTTACGTCCGCTTGCACCGGGAATATCTTCTGGGTCAACACACGGTGCACTTCGTCATCTTTATCCCCACAAGCATCATCTAATACAACAATCTCATAATCAAGGTCCGCCAGCGTTCGCACACATGACAAAATAACTCCACTAGTTGATAAACCGCACAAGTAGACTTTTGTGGCCTTACTCTCCTCAATGAGTCTGAGTACATCAGTGGTACTGAACGGCCCCATTCTATGCTTTGTAATTAGTATCTCATCCCCCTGTGGTCTAAAGTCAGCTAAAGGCTGTGCTTCAGTACTGTCTACACGGAGTGTATCATTTTTATGCAAGTATGAGAACAGTTTGTTTCTGTGTACGCTATCTTGGTCAGTGTATCCCGGTACAGCAACATTTATAAAAATAACCTTTACATCTGCGTCCCTCGCCTTAGTCACAGCCCGCCGCACGTTCTCAATGCATGAAACGCGTTCAGGGTTGGCCGTGTCAGCACCTAGTACTAAATCGACAATGCCTGGTTGCATATCACAACAGAGCAGAACAGCATTCAGAGTCGACATATTGCTCAAAATTGTGTGCTTAAAATGTCTATTTATTTGAGGCCGACTGACCACCAAATGAATTCGATTTTATTTATCATATTTTCGAAGTTCGTCACAGTTCACACACACAATATTTTAACTATTTGTGTAGCGAGAGCCGAGAGGGAATATGTAATAACCGCCGACATGGTCTATTTTGTTTTTTTGTTAGAAAAGAAAACAGTAAACGACATGCATAGGCAGCACAGCCATAGTCTTCTAAAAACAAACTGCACAGCGACAACTCGGTCGATCGCGACATCATACGACATACCAATCCCGTCCGTGTATGTCGTATGTATGACCATATGGCCAGTTGAAATACGATTTTCCCCAGCCTGGGTTTACATATTTTCTTCTGTCTAAATAATGTTATTTTTTAAATACAAAAAAAAATACTGTATTTTAGTATTTAGAAGGTCTTCTCAATTACCCCACTAACACTTCCCAAGTTTCCAGAAGCCCGCGGATGGTCATGTGAATCATTTCTGATTTCTGGACACTGGACAGAGGGGGCCAAGCTTGTACATAGGGTCCATTATTTCATAGTCCCATAGCCTGTACATAGGCCGTATGTAGAACGGACGAATCTATGTCAAACAGTAAAAGGTCTGCCATTCGTATCAGTGACAGCATTCCACCAGCCACAGTATTATCCAATCACATTCTAGATACTTAGCTCCAAAGATTAGAATTTACCACTTGTCCAATAGAAATTAAATATGCGCAAGGCATTATAAAAAAAAAGCTTTCTGTTGACACGATACTCAACTCTCAAAGTCTCAACATATGGTACACATATCAGACTGCATAGTGATCCCTCTCTTTCTCTTGAAAGAGTGTAGACCTCTAGTGTCCACGTCATACATCGCAGAAGTCATTGTCGAGCTAACTATTCTATCGTCAATTGAAGTCCTCGACGTATAAATTGGGCTGACTTTTAGTCACTTGAGCATAGACCTACCTCAGTCTAAAATATGTTTACTGTGGCGAAAGGATCGCTTTTTGCCCTATTGGCAGCCGCAGGATCATTCGGGAGTGATCCATTAGACGGGAATATAAACGTACAGGATACAGACATCAGACTAAATGAACTACAGTTCTTAGGTACACACAATAGTTATCATGTGGCCCCTAAATCACGCTTGCTCACGTTGTATCGCGCTTTAGAGAGCGCATCTGGCAGTGATGCCAGTGTAGATGCCTGGGAATACACACATCACACATTAGACTATCAGATGCAGAATCAAAATGTGCGGCATTTCGAGTTAGATGTATACTATGATTCGGTGGGGGAGAAGTTCGCCAATCCGAAGGCGTTGGCATTGGTGAAGGACGACTTCCGACTTCCAGGTATGCAAAATTACGGACCTCAATGTTCTACTAAATAATTATGAAGAACAGTTTAACCTGCTTATGTATAATTGAACAAACAGCGTTTTTTATTGTGTACATGCACGCACGCACGCACGCACGCACACATACAAGCACGCAAGCACATACATACACGCACGAACGTACCACACCCACCCACGCAACCACACACTGTCACACGCACACACACACACAATATATATATACGCACAAACA